ATTTATATTATAATAATAATATATTTATTTACTCTCACAATTATTTAGGTTTAACAAAGGTAAAGTACAGACAATCTTTTTTTTATGGGCAGAGAAACTGATGTCTGTACAAGGCGGAAGCCTGTGTTATAGATCATCAGGGTCTCCCCCTCAGGATACTATGAACATAACTTACATGCAATTTTTATGATTAACAAATGTGAGACATTATATTGTATTAATAATGGTACTTTTATGATATGATTGTGTGCGTGTATGCTATTACAGTTTGCAGCAGAGTTTGCAGGAGTTGGTTAGATGTGAGGTTGGTTTTTACTTCCTCTGGACTTTGTAATTCTCTAGATTTAGATTGTGCTACGTCATGTATTACGTAAATAAGTATATCGCAAAGGATTTAAAAGAGGTAGGTATGCTTTTTTAAGTAAGGAGTATCAAATCGGACCTATTCAAAATGCGTTAATATATTTCACATACTTAATCCTACGCTTTCTGAAGCGAATTTTCAATCAAACACCCGTATTACAGTTTTGAAATAATTTAAGCCCTGTGTTTTGAAGCACGTCTCAAGAGATTATTTAGAGATACGTTATACTTTTTAACAATTCAGTTATTAATTCAAGATGTCGACAGATGTCGATGTGACTGGCCTTTAGTACATGCTCATAATGTCGCTGGTGGTATTTTCAAACGGTTCTATTGTTATCTCAAAACGGTTAAATAGTAGGTACACGCAGTCTCCAACTAGTTCACCAAGGTCACGAAGTTCAAACATTTCAAAAAATAACAGTGACTAACGAATTGACTGTCCCCATGATCGTAAATCCTGTGTCATAAATCAAACACTTGACCTACTTAGGACGAAGAAGGTCAAATATGCGTACTCCTGAGAACTTAGATAACATGCTTATACGATACTGTACTGTTGCTTGGTAGCAGAAATAGGTAAAAGTATGTACAAGACCATCGGACACATAAGTAGAAAAGCTACACCACTTAAGTAAGTTAGGCGTGCTGCTTGACTGTTAGAATTTACATATATTTTATATAACCCCGTTATGACGTAGTTGTAGTTATGTATGCAGGTTTATTTCGTCTATTGTAAAGTCAAACACAGACCCCATATATTCCCATGGGTGTTGTAGGAGGCGACAAAATAAATAAAATATGAAATGGTCAGCAGCATCTTTCTAATAACTAGAAAATTTACTAAAACTTCGGTTCTCAGCCCGCTAACCGAAACTGGGCAATTATGGAAAATATCCCCCTCATAGCGCAATTTATAAGGAGGCCAATGTTTGATTGGCTTGATTGGTAATGATATTTAACGGTGTTAAATTATGCCTGGAAAATAGAGGCAAAATTCCCTAAATGCAGTAGATATTAGCGCAAGTACACATTCATTTAATAGTATTATTTCTACATCTTTATCAGCCCCTATACATCTACAGCTGAACTCCTCCGCAATTGCAACAGAGATTTGCTGTAATCCTCCAAGTACCTATCAAACGTTTCGAAATTTAACGTCCTTCTTGTTTATATTAAATAAAAGTGACAAATGAATTATTTATAGTCGATCTAATGGTAAGTGGCTACTGCAGCGAACTTCAAACAAAGAAGATTACAAGTGCGTGGTGATATGTGAGCACTAAGATAGAAAGCCCTACAGCCTGCCATTATACTAGCTCTCAATAATATCCTTAAGACTAGAAAACAGCCGTGCACGCACCAACCTAGACGGACCCCTAGGCAGAAAAGAAGTTCTACCACCTATTATCTATATTATCTATGTCGTTGATATGCGTATGTCATATCTGACATATATGAGACGAATATTTCCATTTATTATTATTGTAAAAAAATTATGATGATATCTTTCTGTCATCATTCCCATAGATGACATTTAACGATACTTACTAGATAAAAATCAAAGACATTTAAGTAGTAGTAGTAATAGACCCCAAAGACATTTAAGTAGTTAGTATACCTATATATTTAAATCTATTTGATAAAAATAAATGGAGTAACTGCCTGATAATCTTTTGCGCCGCCACCACACGGCAACTCTTCTTTACATGCCGTAAAGATGTATATGTTTCCTTTTCTAATAATTTTTATGTACTGTGTATCTGTAACACCTTTCTTAGTGTTATCACCGGCCTAAGGTTTGACTGGCAGAGAATGGTGTTAGTATTAAATCCGTCTTTTGATCTTGTACCGTTTTGTTCAATGACAATTAAATAAATAAAGAGTAGATCGTATCGAATCAACTGTTACGATGGTGCGATAAGATCGAGTATACGTTTGCATTTATTATCTGAAACGGACAAACCATGATAATCAAATAATTGCTTATAACGTGTGTAAACGCTTACGAGACTTCATGAGTTAGGTACTAAAAAGTAAAAACGATTCGTTATAAATCACAAACCGGCAAATGTCGTTTGGTGTACGAGCTGTAACACTGTTAATTCAATTAGTTGTAACAATAATTATTTTTTACTCGATTACGGTGAAGCCGAAAATTAGGTTAATATGTTTTGGATGGCACGTATATGTTTCATTTCTATGGCTGCTCGTCAAGAGTTTAAAACAAATGATTTCGTCCTAACTGCTATAGTAATGTAACATGGTATCATGACATCAGCATAAAAATATGGATGACGGAACGTAACGTAGTTAATTTAATTTTTTTAAAAGATACATTTAATTATTACGTAAAATATGTAGTGTAGTGTATAATTTTATATGAAATACCCACACGAACAGAATCTAAGAGATACCTTAATCGTGAATTATTTACGACTTTATAGTTTCAAATCTTTTTAGTTTCCATAAAAAGTTTATATGATTGTTATATATGATTTACATTATATGATATATGATCTAGATTGAAACCTATTTTATTCTATTTTCAAAATTAAATAAAAAAATACGGGGGCAAAATTGTTAGTAATTAGTTACGTCAAGGAAAATTAAAATTATTCTACTGATATTAATTAATGAAAAGGGATTAGATTATTTTTCTTTTTTAATTTAACGTGCCGTGTGAGCTTGTCAGGTCGTCATTTGTGTCGAAAAGAAATGTTACGAGCCGTGGACATGTTTGAAAATGGTACTATTCTACGCGTCGTTGCAGTGCACCCAAACACCAGCCAAAACGTGATATCAAGTTTGTGGTCACGTTATCGCAGTACTGGGGATGTGGCTGAACGGCGCACGGGTAGATATCGTGTTACTACGCAGAGACAGGATCGAGCACAGCGATGCAACTACTACAAAGGCTCCAAGAAGACCACCAACTGCTGGTAAGCGACCAAACCGTGCGAATGAGATTGCATGAAGTTAGTTGGTATTCATGCTCGAAAACCGTTACGTGTTCTAGCATTGCGACGTGGCAATCGCGGTCGGCGGCTTTCGTGGGCTCGGAAGCATTTACTATGGAGTGTCGAACAATGGTCTTTGGTGCTGTTTACCAATGAGTCCCGGTTTGGGTTTCATCCGGATTCACGAAAAACACGCGTTTGGAGAACTCCAGGGAGAGCTATCCGTCTACGGCACCCTCAGGAGATCCACTCATACCAAGGCCGGACAATCATGGTGTGGGCAGGAATTCGTCTTGGCGGACGAACCCAGCTCGTTTGGATCCAAGGCAGGATGACTGCACAAAAATACCACGAGGAGGTAGTAGAGCCTGTTATTGTCCCACACAGAATCCAAATGGGCCACGAATTTCTACTCATGCACGATAATGCTCCTTCCCATACGGCGCGGCTGGTGTCGGCCGCTCTCCGAGACCAGGATATTCAAGTTTTGGAATGGTCTGCACGGCGACTAAAATTCTATAGAGCATGCCCGGGACATGTTACATCGAAAAGCTTTGAGAAATTTCCCGCCAAATTCGACGACGGAACAACAACTTTACGAACACTTGCTAAGAACATGGGACCTCACACCGCAGCAAGACATTGACTATAAACATCGATTAATACACATCGACATCGATTGTTCATACTTAAAACTAAATTTAGTTTTAAGTATGAACAATCGATGTCGATGTGTATTAATGTAAATGGTGGCAACACTGATTATTAATACTAATTAGATTTTGTAAGATATTTTCAATTTTAATTACTAATTTTTTTCGGCGATTAAAAAAATTAACATTTTTATTTAAGTAAAACAAAAAAATTACGAAATGTGTTTCATTTTTTATTAAAGACTAAAATAACCTATCATACTTCCATTTACTATATCAGAAAATTCTTCATAGATTTTTAGATCTTTGATGAAATATAAAATATTCCGAGATTCTGTTTAACCTCGTACTATAATTAATAGAACACTACGAATTGTCGGATTGTTTGTTTTTAATTATCAGTTACTTGCAACATTCCACCAATAAAAATATTCGTAACTGTTTAAATATGTATAATCGTACTATAAACTTCTGATGACAAAGTCACTGCCATTGCAAGAATTGTCTTATTTGCCTTATAATTATGTCAACCCCTGTTAATGTTCTATTGTTCTATTTTTTGTTTTCATTACTAGGTATAGGCAAAAGCAACCCACACGAAGTTTCTATTACGGAAAGTATAGCATTAGCGTTTGATATTTTAAAAGACAATGTTGTACCTTTAATGATAATGGTTCTGTGGATGGAACAAACAATGGAGAAAGCTGTAATTAAATTAATGATTCGATTTGTTTACAAAAACTTGAATGAAATATCGTTACAAATAATTATGTACCTAACCAAAAATGGCATTATTATTTAATTCTTCCAAAACTATCCAATAGTGTTGCTGATAAAAATATGTAAAACTTATAAAGTGTGAGAGTATCGAGTTGGTGCTCACCAGTCCAGCTGCCCCCCAGTACGGGAAGTATGGAAAACTTTTTCAAGAATTGCATTCTCGGAAAAGATATACAACAGAGGATTTTAATAAGTTTAAGTAAAAGAAGGTACAATAAAAATACCGTAGTGATTATAGACTTACCCAATGGTTGTCCCATACGTTAGCGACGACCGCTGAGCCGAAGGAACGAGCTGGGTTCATTGAAGAACCAGTGTAGTCTACAGCGAGCAAATGACCCAAGGTAACTGTCAGACCAATAGCCAGTGGTGCGGTCGCCTTGCTGTCTGGTTTGTTGGCGTCGCACACCTGTAAATCATTTTTTTATTATGCTAATTTCATTACTAATTTAATTATTTCAGGTTATCTATTTATGAAGATTTTAGTGCGCATTACTAACGGTGGACTACGGAACCGAGACGTGGTTCTTCACTGCTGGTCGTATGAGGAAGCTAAAAGTCACTCAGTGAACGATGGTGAGGCCTATACTGAAATTCCATTTATATAATAAAATTCATAACGAAGATATCTGCAAAGGAACAAAATTAACTGACATAGCATTACGTATCAGTAAGCTGAAGTGGTAAAAGACCAATCGCGAAGCTCAAAGAACCGCCAACCGATACGGAAGAATGTTTCTTGAGTAGCGGCCTCGTACCAACAAGCTCAATGTAGGGCGAAACCCAATAGGTGAAATGAAGACCTACACAGTGCCATAGCTTTTCACTATTGTAATATTTTGTAACTCGAAATAAGATCCACTTATAATCGATGCTAACATCTACCTACACGAGCAACGAAATCATACGTCAAATGTCAAAACGAAGTTAAACAACGATTTCTACCAGAGTTGCATAATCGCACGGTTGATGACTGTTGCAAGCCGTAGCTCAGCGCTATGCTTTATGCATAGTCCAACGGATCAGTAAGATGAAGTGGCAATAAACCGACCACATACAATAACAATAATAATAAATTTTTGTGAGAAATAATAAACATAAAAAAATGGTTTAAACTTAACACAATGAATATTAGATAATATTAAAAAATTAAACTCGACAAAATCCGTAAACATAGTTTTATTTAACACATAATGTTATTGTAAATAAATTTTAACTAGATGTCTAGCATAAATGTGCTAGAAATATAGATCGAAGAATCGAAAACCGATTGGGAAGAAAAGTTCTCTAGTGGTAGCCTCGTATTGGCACAGAATAGATAATACTAGTATCGGTAAGCAAAGTGTTGAGTGATAGATGCAGGTGGCCCAGAAATCGGGCTTTATCTCATTTCTTAGCGAGGGGTGGGGGGTGGGGGCTGCTATGTTCAGCAGTAGACTATTTCAAAAATAGAAATGAACTTGAATTTATAGTAATTGAAACATCAGTCTGTGATGTCAGGATTGCCGAGACGAAAGGTCATTGACTTTTGTAGCCTAAATTTGTTTCAATCATGTCGCGTTATTAGATAACGAATAAGATTGGGTAGGTGGGACGAGTTTATAGATTTTAACGATCCGTAATGTGTATGCACTCGCAGATGCGAACGATATCAAACGATATTATGTTTCTCAGACATAAACGATTAGAAAATACAGAACAAGCTAATTTACGCTATATTCTGTGTGTTGTCAGTAGAGCTTATAAAATATATGTTTATGTGTGCTAATTACAAATTCGTAGTGTAACGCTAAAATGTATTAGCATTTTACGTTGGTATGTTTACCTTGCATACTAAGTCGTGATTATACCGCTATCTATCGGATGCTATGAAATCTTTCCTTTACTGCGACCACCAATCGCTAATACGGTAGAGATCCATGTCCAGAAGTGGACTGTTATGGGCTGACAAAAAAGAAGACAACATCATGAATCCTAGGAGCCATCATTTGTGTTGCATCATGCAAAAATAATTGGTTTTCAAATCAGAATGTTCTAGTGTCCTGTGGCTTGACCGGTGTATTTCACACAGTATCCTTAGCTAGATAACGCTACGCTACTAGATAACCGACTATAAGCATAAGAGTAGCGTCGAATACGTTAGTATCTCTATTTGTGTCATCTGTGTCCTTAGCTTTTGACACCATAATATAGTACTAATTTTACGGATTGTATCGCATTTAATTATAACGTTTTAATTCCCGACGTTTACGGTTGTATTGTAAAACACTAAACAGTGGTCTGTAATTAAAAAGTTAAAATTAAACGCGATAAAATCCATAAAATTAGTTTAAACATAAATATAAGAAATCTTTACATAAGAATAAGATGCCTGTAATAATTATGATTATACATTATTAATAACTTCCGAAAATATTAAAATGTTATTATCTAAACATCTCTTTAAGGTAATTTCATGTGTGTGGGGTTTTAATTGCCCCATATAAAGGAATCCTAAATACAATATTATTTTTTAACTTTTTTATTGATACCCCAAAACATTTTATTTTCGAAATACAAGTCCAGTGCAGGCTACTTGATATTTTTTTAATAGTGCAACATAAATGTAGAAAATAACAATCTTAAAAATAACTGTTACTCTACTTTTAATTTAAATTATTACGTAGTATTTAAGCTCACATAATGCGGCATTCATATTTAAAAATATTTCAGATAATCTACACCAACACGCTCTTGCCCATTTTTTAATTAGATTTACCATTTCATCTAAAATTGTTGTTAATAACTAAATCGCAATACTTAATTATATTGTCAAAAATTTAGATTTTTTTTAAGAAATGAAATAATTTTAAAGGATAAGAAGTTTCGTGTAATTTTAAAAATAAATCTTGTTTTTTATTATAAGTAAGTATGTAAAATATATAGTATTCCAAGAAAAATAGTGTCGCGGCGGCACTACGTTTGAAAATTATCTAGATAATTTATAAAGATAAACAGGCAGACCATTCCGTGACAGTAAATTATTCGTACGTGTACCATGTATTCAATCATTCTTTTCATATTTTGCGCTGTATGGTTATTGTTACAATATCAAATGATGCCAAGGACTTGGTCGTTTCCTATTCAGTGCAGTCAGAGTAAATTTTGGTATCAGAAGCTGTTTGTTATGCAGGGAGTATTATAAATTAACTTTTTAAGTGGTAGAGCCAAGTTGTGTAGAGCTGTATAATAGGTGCAGGCTGAAACAAATACAGTTTGTAACAATCGGGAAAGGATTACGTTCGCACATGTTAGCGTAACTAAGCTTCCAACTGGTAACTAGGCTTCATTTTAGCCCTCAGGAGTGAGAACCTATTTACATTTTTCGCGAGACACTACTTGCATAAAAAATTCACAAACTTCTGCCAGGGAATAAAATCAAACCCTATTCTTCTGATTGTTTATATCGTATGTATTTTTAATTTATAAAGAAGTAAGAGTGACACACGAATATACAGTCCACCTGATGGTAAGTGGCTGCTGTTGACCATATACTACATCTATCCTTTATTAAGAACCAAAATGTAGATGCGTTGTCACTCCTGAGGACTAAGATGGATTACCTCCTTACCAGGGTATCTAATTCACATCACACTATAGGAAACAGAGCAGCATTAGGCTGCTATGTTAAGTTTATGAGTGGCGATACCGCAGTGAAGACTCATCCGTGCTGTAGCGATAATATACTAGCATGCAAGGTGCTACGACTGCCTAGGAGACCGTCGGAGTAGGCACCACTATTTTACCTATTTCTGCCGCCAAACAGCAGCGCCTACACTGCTGTGTTCCGATCTGAAGCATATTTAGAACCAGTATAACTACAGGCTGTGAGGCATTCCATCTTAGTGCTCACAGGTGTCAACACATCTGTAGCCTTCTTTGTCTGAGGTTGTCTACCTGTAGCCACTTACCATCAGGTGGACTGTAAGTTAGTCTGTCACTTCAGTTTTATAAAAATAATACTATTGTTAAGCCATGCCATAGCCATATATAGTTATAGACTTTTTTACGAAGTAGAGCTATGCTGCACCTATGTTAGTAGTATAGTTGTAGCACGAATGGGTCGTCTCGACCGGGGAAGGACCACGCTCTCTCAGAGAATACCAACGTAAAATAGCAGCTTAACAATGCGTGAGTGACAATGCATCTGCATTTTGATTCGTAATCGAGGATAAATGTTGATGACTATGGGCCACAGCAACCACTTACCATCAGGTGGACTGTGTGCTCGTTTGTCATCCTTATCCTATAAAAAATTTTTTTGCCGCATTTTTGTCTTTACTGCAGCATGGCATGTATAGTATTGATTACAATCTTGTCCAATTAATTTTTATTTTGTTTAGTTCTGGTAAAAGTTGAATACTGTGACATGGAGATTTTCTTTATGAATTAATCTCAAATAAGTGATAGCACGGCATAAATATTTGTTTCGACTATTGTTTGAATCCAAGGCACGCTAGCTGACTGTTAATTCGCGCGGATATTTTCGATGCCAGTGTTATTCGTAAGAATGTGACCGGAATTTAAAGTGAAAGACGTGAATTATAATATGTTTGCAGTGTTTTATTAAGTATTTTGCATTCTATTAAGCAGTAAGTAGGCTTCAAGTACTTACTTACAAAGAGAATATACCGCACAGAACAAGTAGGTAATTTTATGGCCTATAAATAATGTGTCCGAAGTCTGGATATTTTCCACGTGCAATTTATTATTATAAATCACCTCCAAGATATGTATATGAAAAATTTGTATCATTGGTAACATTTCTAAATTAAAAAAATATATATACCTACATAATGCATCTTACAATTTTTATCTGACAACGCGTATTTTATATAGATTTACCATACACTACCCTCAATTAGGTAATTATACTTTACTACAACTACGATACACATACTCGTACCGTACCTTGTGCATAAATATCGTAGAGCTGCTATAGGGCTATTTTTTATTACCGGCCAAATTTGCAGAAATGGTTCAAAATAAGTAATATAGGCAAAGATGAAGAAAAATGAAGTAAAAAAATCGCAATAAGTCTGTCCTTTTTATCTTTTAAATTAAAAATGCGTGGTAATGCATTATTTTAACTAATTTTACTGCGCACGCACACATTCGTAAGGTTCGATCGGTAGGCAATAACGTTGTTGCCCATAAATCACATTCAATTTGGGATAATTTCAAATAAAAGTAGAAGCCTTCCTTACTCGTATTTTCAAAAACTGCAATAACGTTATATCATTATTTATATATTTGAACTTATGTTTCAAATTTGGCTACTCTTGGAAAAAACCCTGTATACGAATAGGTGTGTATAAATTCTAACAACGAGAATTCATATATTTTAAGAATGATGGCGGTGTGAGCGCAACAGAGATCTTAATAAAATCTTTATAGTTTGCCGTCAGTCGTGACTGCATAAGACATGTTGGAAAAGGATCTACCAGTTTAGAAGATTGTCCTAATTGCCTGACGGGCGGATCTGGGATTGCAATACAAGTGGTCTTACGAATTTGTCCCTGTTTCCTGTCGTCGGCGAGTACAATACGGTACGGGTATAAAAAGATCTATAAACTTTTAAATAGCAAATATTTCTAAAATTCTTCATAATCGTTGATGAATCGGAATAATTCAGAGAACCAGTTTTTATACTTTTGTCACTTTTTTCTTTCAAATTAAATATAAAATGAAAGAAATGCAGGTTTTTTGAAAATAAAATTATTAATACAAAAAAAATATAAACAGCAAAAATATTCATCTGAAAATTGAAAAAAAAATCAAAATCATAAATGAATGAAGTTAATAATCTACTATTTTTTATCGATTTTCTATATTTTTACCATTACCGGACATGAAATATTATAAATTGGCCTATAAAAAAAGAATGCAATGCATATATTTTAGGGTTAGCATGACATTATAAAGATGAAATAATTAATTAACTTATCACTTCTACACAACCTGTATGCTGTAACTTAAGCTCTATGTGAATGAAACCACGGGGATAGAGTGCGACTTATCATCAATAACTTTATAGTGGCGTTGACCGCCATCAGATGTCGTCACCTTTTATGAATTGAGTAAGATCGTTGCAGTGTTTATCTTATATTATATAAAGGGCAAAAGAGTAAAGTAACAGCCTACTGTTGGGCTTCTGGTCACATACCTCTTCTCATTTCTGAGTGTTTTAGGACAAGGAAGAGTCGGCCACACTGCCCTAATGAGCGCACACTTTACTTTTTACTCTTAAATTTTACTTTGTTTTGCCAATCATGCAAGTTTCCTCACGATGTTTTCCTTCGCCGTCGTGCTTATGGCAAATCAACAATTAAAACTGTAACTAACGATTTCATTAGCGCCGCTGGTAATGGAATTCGTTTTGCCCCGTTAATCCCCACGCAATTTATTTCTATTAAAACTATTCCTACCTACTATAGAATTCATTTTAATACAATATTTCCAAAAACTAAAAGTAGATACAAAAACTCTCGGTAAGTAGTATAGCACTATTATTTATTCTGTTGTACCTAGTAGGTAGGTAGCTACTTTATCTTTGACAAACGAGTTATAATTTATTAATATTAGATTATTTTTAAATTTGTACTATTTGAATAGAATTAGGTTGTCATCGGTCAATATTTGTAATATTTGAGCGAAATATCGAGTACTGTGCTTTAGTACATAGCATAATCGGTTGTGACTAATGAGTCTACCAACACCGAGTCACGAGATCTGGCGTTTACTTTATTGAAATTGAATTGTATTTTGCTACATAAATTCATTGTTAGAAAATTTTCGGACAACTGTATTTTATTTGATGTAATAATAACAATAATAAAAATATAATAACAATAATGTCTTCAGTTTTTCAATACATTTTCTATATAATTTCATACCAATTGAGTGCTACAGATATTTTTATGCTATCATAGCGCTGTTTTATCGTTTGTATTCTGCAGAGCGTAGTTTCTAACCATACATGTGTGGATGTTTGTGTAAGGAGCGGCAAAATCAGAAAAAAACTAAATTTAAATTTTTGAAGGGAGGGGTGGTCTCATGACCCCATGACTCTCCTCCTGGAACTATACATGGCGCTAAAAATTGATCATTCATTCATTTTGCCTAATGGGTGTCGTAACAGGCGATTATGGGAAACGTTCGATCGAGCGGTATCACCATGAGCTGTAATGATGACAATGAAGATACCATTCATTCATCATCATTCAAATGCCCGCTACCGATCAAATAACCACTACTAAACATAGGCCTCGTCCATAAATTGCCTCTTATTACCACAGTTTCCGTGCTTTTTAGGCAGGCAAACACAGTTTTATTGATTATTTTTAATTTGTTATCAGGAATAAGTTGTTTTAGTTTCCCTCTGTCGCCTCTTACGTTACTCACGGGAAGATATAGGGTAGAGGACTTTCTTACCATTCGCTGCCACTACACGGCGTTCTTCTTTTTCATTAGTTCGTAAATATTCTTTATAATTTAGTTGTAATAATTTTTTCATTAAAAAATTTACCTCCACTATAGGACTATCTTATGTATCTTGTAAGCATTTTACATTACATACATTAATTGTACATGACAAACATTTGCCACCCACAACGCAATTGTCACGGCTGGCTGGCGGATATGCAATCGAAAAATCAGAGATCATTCGCTCCTTTGCCCTTGTCAGTGCTCTCTGAGGCCATTCTTAGAATTGTATGCCATATATCGGTAGCCATAACATCTTTCTGCTATTTCCCACAGAGGTCTCTTACGTCACCCGCGGAACGATATAGAACGATACATATAACAATTATTTTTGAAGAATTTTATGTTAAGGAAAAGGGTACTTACACCGCAGACAACAAAGACGAGCACGAATCCGAGGAAGAATTCGATGCCGAAACCCTGCAGCTGCGTTACATCAGTGCCAAGTCCAGTGACGCTAAGGTTCCCTGCGGCACGATCCGGTGTGAAGGATTTGAGCAAGCCTGATCCTGCGGCGGCGCCGGCGCATTGCGCGATTATGTAGAGTATGGCGCGCACGGGCTTCACACCCCCGGTTGCCGCTAACCCAATTGTCACAGCTGGATTGACATGGCCCCCTGATATGTGACCAACTGCCTGTTTTGTAAAAAAAATATATTAATAAAAATATTTCAATAAGTTCATTAACTTCACATTTGGAAATTTGGAGTGTTTTTCTTGGTGCGCTATTTCAAAAGTGTAAACATTTTATGAATTAAATTATACCTGACACCATTATTCGTAAAACAGGATCCGGCTAACACAGTCGTTCGCCGCCATACTTATATAGATAAGTAGGTGATCTATACGTGTTGGCATTTGTAAACTTTTTTTAAACCGTAAATACAAGTCATCACGCTCATTGAATCTAATCTGGTTCATTAAACTGATCTCTGTCGGCGATTGCTATAATTCGTGTATGTTTATAGCTGGCAATAAAACTGTTCAAAGCTTTAAATTCTCAATTATTCAAACCACATTATCGCCATCTTTAATCATTTTACGGCACGACATAGTCTTAATTATCTATTTATGTCTCAGTGCATACCATACTATGGGCTATGGGTCTAGTCCAAAAATAATCTTTAGGTAATAAAAAATTCAGTTTGAACAGCTTTATGAAATTCTGATAATAGACTACAAATTAATTTACTAGCATTTAATAAAAATGTCATTTATTTTACCTAAACACTCGTAACCTCTTGAGCAATAAAAATGGGTAGGTACCTAATTTTCTTAATATCTCCGAAAATATAAATGGTAGCTTAATGATATTAAAAAAAAACTGTTTTAAGCGTAACTAATAATAATAATAAGTGTAAACAGTAACTAAAAACAAAATTTCATTGTATGAGGGATTCATTAACTTTGTTTATATTCCTACAGAAAAAAAATGATATAATTAAGTATATAATTCGTAGACTAAAATATCAAAGGACTAAAATATCTGTTAGCTAGATACAAATAAATAAAATTGAAGTGTCTGTTTGTAATATTAAAACAACTGCATTTTATTAAATGCATATGAAAGTATATACGGTACCAATAACAAAAAAAAATTAAAATTTTTGTCTGTCTGTCTGTTTGTTCCGGCTAATCTCCGAAATGGCTGGACCGATTTGGACGGGACTTTCATTGGCAGGTATCTGATGTTATAAGGAGTAACTTAGGATACTTTTATTTTAGAAAAAGAACTAGGGTTCCACGCAATAAATTAAAACCCATAAAATCGTAGTAAATTCCACGCTAGCGACGTCGCGGGGACCAGCTAGTTAAAAAATAAATCGAGTCGCTCGCACCTGAACAATGTACTAAAATCGTTACAATGTAAGAAGGCGGACGGAGTCAGCACGTAAAGCATCTAGACAGATGTAATCCAGCTCGGATTGTGTAATGTGTTTCGGCTACACGAATCAAAACCAAGCGCCAACGTGGTCAAGCTTTACTGTGAAATGTGAATCGCGCTCGCGTAGAATTAAGTTGTAGAAATGGCTCCTAATTTGTCCAAATTGAAAAGGTGGGCCTTGCTTTAGCAGTTTTGTGCGCTATTGAAGATGGAAAACAAAGAAAGTGGATGAATCACTGGTTAAAGGCCAAAAAAGTTTTTGTATATTGTATCCCATAAGCATGGCATATCTCTATAGAGATCTATTAATTTTGTTGGGTCGCTAGATTACATCCGTCTGGATCAACATACTTTACAGTAAGCACGGTTGTGTTTTTTTTTTGGTTGGGTTATCCAATGGTTACGGGAAATCTATCGAACGCAGCCCAGGAAGAGGAAAAAACAAGTTCTGGTCTCGACAATGATACGAAATCGGAAACGATGGCAGCTGCTTTGAGAGCAGTTACCCAAGCGTATGTAGGCGACGCTTTTCTGCCGACTTCCAAACAGACAAACAAGGAGACGGTACTCAATTTAAGTGTGTTTTTTTATGTGTGTTACCTCATAACTTTGTAATGCGTGAACCGATTTCGATGATTCTTTTTTTTATATGAAAGCTGATAGTTCTCGTGTGGTCCCATATGAATTTGATCAAGGTTAGACCAATGGTTATTGAATTATTCTTAAATAACCTATATGGAAGTCGCTTATATTGAAGTCGGCTGTACAAAATTTTTAATTTTTAATTATTATTTATTATATTTCATTGCAATTTTACAGGTCAGTTGTGACCATTGACAAATGACCTATAAAATGGAGAGGGAGAAATTTTTTACGCGACAAATGCACGCACGCGTTTTTTTGGACGCAACTGATTGGTCATGGATCATTTCTCAGGCGAATTCAGTTTCATGTTATAAGCATGAGGGCAAGCAAAGAAAGTCCACAGCTGAACATAGGCCTTTCCCATATAGCCTCATAGAAAATATATTTGGCATAGTTGCCAAGTTTGGCAGGTGGGTTAGCAACCCCAATTTTTATATTTTTTTTAGCTGATATTAGAAAGATGCTGCTGCCCATCTCCTGGTTTGTTTCCCTCTGTTGTTTAGTCTAGGGACACACACGGGACGACATGGGGTAGTGGATATTCTAACATAGCCACCAAACGGTTATGTAAATCAGGAGAGCGATTGTGACAAGTATGAAAAAAAATCTTCTGAAATCTGCATTAAAATAATCCTTATGTTGGTCCGAATGAGACGACAACGACAAACCCCCTTTAACAACATTTTGCGATTTAAAGTACTGATGCGTTAATATAGGAATGCGGGAATATTCTTAGAAACATGATGTCACATAATATCGGTACTGACAACATGAGGAGGCTATGCAAAATAACAAACATACGTATTTATTATTTTCCTGTTGTGTCCATGTGTTTGCATTATTTTATTAATTTTTAAGAATACAAATATAATTATTTTAGCTATCAAACTGTTTTTACATCAATACGCCTAACGGAAATATGAAATTTCAGAAATTAGAGATTTTTTAACTAATCAGTTTTCTTTACTCAAGAGACAGTAAAGTCTGCAGTATTGGATGCAGGAGGATAACATATTTATACTTTAACAATGTTTGTTTATCGTTTATCGTAATGTTTATACTGATATGTATACTACATTAGGACTCGAAGAATTTAAAGCAAGTTGTGTTTGTCACTTCATTTCTAACTTCGATATTTATTAGACGTTTAGTTTTATCGAGTTTAAATTTCAACACGCGTGTTTTTTTTAATATAGAATAAGGGTGACGAGCGAGCACACCTGATGGTAAGTGGTGCTGTGGCCCATAGGCATCTATCCTCGATTAAGAATCAAAATACAGATACGTTGTTACCCCTGAGGACTGAGATGGAATGCCTCGTTTCCAGTAAAAAGGGTCTCCGGTTTTTTACACACCAAACGAAACACAGCAGCATTAAGCTGCTATTTTACGCTAGTGGTTTTTGTGAGAGCGTGGTCACTCCTCAGTCGAGCCGACCCATTCGCGTATATACTGGTGATGATGATGTCATGGTAAATATGCCATCAAGTAAGTAAATGTACGCTAAGGACGGTTGAGTACGCTTGGGATTAGGATTGCGTTTTGACTAGTGCCCGCTGAAGACCGGACAGACTGGTATCGTTCAACTCGTTGGTTTATCCAGATATCTGCTTCAGGTAGGTACTAAGTGAAGCAAATAGCAAAAGCGGTCACCGTGGTTAAATCATATAGCAGGATATCACCATCTAATGTAATAGATATTTTACGAAGAAAATACTTACAGAAATAATAGCGAACACAGCCAGTCCAAACGCGAGTGCAATTAAGACTATATCAGGTGCCGCAGTTGATCCCAGAGCTACATTCACGCATGCACCACATCCAAATAGGTTTAGTAATAGATTTCCTGAAAAAAGTAATTTTATTATATTTTTCTAACATTGAAAAACATAGACCTCCGCTGCTTATTATTTTTGTCTCTTAAATATACAGTATAGAAGTATGGACCGTCATACCAATGGAATTACGTAATACACCAGCGATTAGGTAATTTGAACGTCATTAATTTATTTCTTTATTCCGACTTATTAAAAGCCTGGTCGCCGAGAACGAATAATTTGATACAATGACCCGTCATTACTTGTTTCTGTCGTTCGCGTCTAAAAAGTATATTACTGTCGCCCTCGCTCATATGCGGTGACCGCCATCATCAGATATTGCAAACCTTTTAGCTTTAACAATAAGGCACACACATGTTCTTTGGTTTGCCTTGACATTGTTATGTATTTTTGTACCGTTTTGGGATGTGCTCGTAATAGCTAGTTCTCGGTAATGAGATTCAATAGTATAGATACGTTTCATACTTACAAAGTAACCGAAAAAACGTTTCACACGAAGCGGCAGCACACATACACATGTTTTATTTGACTTACATTTCGCTACATTAACAAATGATGTTAAAAGGATACCGTAATTAAATCGGAATCTAAACACGGTTTTCGGGAATGGGGAAGGACGTGCATATCATGAATATCGTGCAAGCGTGTGTGCTCTCGAAGCTCTATAATATATCGAGAACCAACGCTAATTATGATGCTACAATTAAGTCTTTTATGCATTTCTTTCTTGGCGCGCTAGTTACTTTTCTGCCGACTTCCAAAAAGGGGACGGTACTCAATTCGACGCGTATGTTTTTTTTATGTGTGTTACCTCATAACTTTTTACTGGGTGAACCGATTAAGATGATTCTTTTTTATATGAAAGCTGATAATTCTCGTGTGGTCCCATATGAATTAGATCAAGGTCAGACCAATAGTTTTTGAGTTATTTGAGTTATTCTTAATAACTTATATTGAAGTCGGCTGTACAAAATTTTCAATTTTAAATTATTATTTATATTACATATTATTGGTTCTCGAACTCAGTTAAATAGATTTTGAAGTTAAGTTTGTTGTGTTCGATTTGTTTAAAGTGTATATCTAGGTCACGTCAACAAAGTACAAAATTAGATAGATTTGACAATTAAATAGATAAAAATATCGATCCATTCATTGTAAATGTAACAGGCGGGACATCTTACAGGTCTTCAGACACTGAAACAGGAAGTGATTCTATTTTAATATATATTTTTAAGAAAAGAATAAGCTATTCGTTTTGTCAGTTTAAGCTACATCAGACTAAGTCTAATTTGAAAGCCGTTGCTATACAAAATTGTTAGGTATATAAAAATAATACACTTAAATAAGTTCATTATATTACTCAATAACAAGCATAATAAATATATTTAAAAAAATGTTTCACACTAAAATGTTTTTGACCACTGGCAGTAGGCGAAAACGAAATTCTTCGTACTCGGTGACCGGAATTTTAGTTGTGGTGAGGTTTTTTAGGTTTCTAAGTACTGAATTCTGGAAGTCTCTTCTATTTTACACATTACAGAGAAACAGAAAACATTTCGTAAAAAAGCTAGGAGTTAAAAAAACAGAATGCATAGTGGATGTGATAACGACTGATGATGCAAAGAACGTATTTTAAATTCTTTTGTCTTCTATAATGAGTAAGAGTATTTTCGATTCAATAAAAATATCATTACCATCACCGGCGAACGATCGGCGAAAGAAACGTATAGCAGACTCAGGGGCGGATCTATATATTATAGCCTTTTGAGCTGAAGCCCAGGGCCCCGTGGATATATTCTATTCTATTCGTGGATGGTCTTCACTAGGGACTGCCAGCCCCCAGTGAAGACATATATCTACACGGTATCTTTACAACGAATCAACCGATCGAGATGGGCGACACAGCGTTCGAAAGTGTTCATTGAGATTAGATTTTCAAGTCAATCGGTCGAGCCGTTTCATAATTTCAAAAAATAAAAAACAAAAAAAACAAAAATTAAATGGATTTTAGAGCGTTGCACTTGAAAATAAACGGGAAGTTCCAGGGATAGCCTGCAGGGTCAACCGTTTTTCAGATTTTTTTATTATTTTAGTCCGATCTACGCAAAATAAACGTACTGCATCTTGAAATATTGCGTTGGTATGCGTAAGTTTTGATTTAATTTTATAAATTACAGCTTTCTTAAATGTGTAAGCAATTAAAACCATGACAACACCAGAAAACATTTGTGTATAGAAAAATACCCATACTAACCAATATTTAAATGATAAATCTCACCATCATCCATCACAGTTAGCTAGCGTGAAAATATATTTGTCTCAAAGAGAGCACAAGGCCTGTGACAGGAAACATGGCTTAGCCGAGCCCGAGCTAATTTCTTAACTGAATGACCCCTCTGAATTCACAACTATTCACTAAGATGTTCTTTATTTTTTATATTATTAAGCGTTGATTGGAGCCTCAGTTATTAGTTAGTAGTATTGACTTTTTTACTTGTTTACTTAGTAACGTATTGCAAGATCGAACGATGTAGTGTTCTATTGTCACCAAATCAAAAAATCGCGATCCACTCGACTTAAAAAATCACTTCCACTAGCCTTATATTGGACTTAAATAATAATAAAAAAGTACACCAATAGCAAGAGGAGACTTCAATTAATATTTCTGACGTAGTTATGAGATTATTTATTACGATTATTATTATTAAAAAAGTAAATTGAAAATAATTTCACTTGGACGTCAGTTGGTCGGTATGGATGTGAACAAGATACCTTCCGAAAAACTGAACTTATCACTTTGTTTTTTTTTATTAGCTTTAGATTTTAATTCATAAGAAGCCTTTTGATTGATTCATTATTATAAAACGTCCCGTTCGAAGTGTGCACTTTTGGATTCTCCAAATTTTATTTGAAAATTTAAGTGTATAACGATTATTATTATTCAAAATAAAATAAAACGTTTTTAAAACTTACCGATGAATTCTGCGAGTAAGGCTTTAGTAATGGTCGTTGCTCCGTCAGTCAGCTCGTCGAGCCCGAGCGTTTTGCCCATTTCACCCATCGTTCTGCAAAAAAAAATATATGGAAATGATTACATTTCTTTTTTCGGTTTTATATCACAAAACCGAGGTAATAACCAAAATGTCGTCTAAATCAACTCATCTAAAATATTAATTGTTACAATAAAAACTTCATACCCTATTTTTTCACGTTGACGGCGAAATGTTTTAGTTGTTTTTAGTTAAATCTATGCAGCCGCTTCCGAGAAATCGATAAATATATGTAAAAAAAAAATGCGTTGGATATAGAACCTCCTCCTTTTTTGAAGACGGTTAAAAGAGTAATAATATTTAACAAAAAATATTTTTATTTTTATGAATGAACGGGAACTCGTGATTACGATAAAATATTACTTAGCAAATCAAGTTTGTTTCCACCATTGATTGATGGATATTATGTCGTATTCCATTAACTCTATTAAACTCTATCAGAATGCAATATCTAAATTATATAGAAGGACTGTAACACACATTAGTTGAATTATTTCCCAGAGTCCTTCAGTGACAACATGAAAAACGGCAATGCAAGGCTTATCGCCATTTCATAAAGTTTATGTTGAAATAATTGATCAGTAATTGCCATGTTACGAGCATTTATAGACAGCAAGCAATACCTATAGCTTTTATTTATTTGTATATAAAGCACACGTAGAAACGTAGAATCGAGATGGCAGTAGAACATACCACGAACTTTTTTAATGCGTTAAGTGAAGCTTCCAAACGGCTGCGGCCACTTTCTTCATACCACTAGTGATCTACCAAGGCTAACAACTATTTATATGATTATAAGGCATCAACACTTGTTTAAGATTTATTCAACCCGAAACCACCGAAACTGTATAATATGGGAACCGGTTTGATGATTCCGAATAAATATTTTGTGATATTGGACCCAGATACGTTGTAGGTAGGTATCAAATGACGTAGTGTTGGGAATTCCGTTCATGACTTATTTGATGCATGTACACATCCGAAGAAGGATAAATGATGTTCATCATAATTATTAAACGCGGAAAAGATAAGCAAAAAAGAGCGATTTATATTTGTATACGTGGTAAAGCCATGATGCAGCTATGTAGTATGGTTGTAGCACGAATGGGTCAGCTCGCCAGGTAACGCTCTCAGACCAGGCTCTCAGAGTGTAATAGCAGCCGCTGTGTTTCGTATGCTAGAGAACTGGAGACCTTTTTTACTGGAAACCAGGCATTCAATATTAGTCCTCAGGGCTCACAACGCATCTGCATTTTGTTTCTTAATTGGGGATATATGTAGAGATGTCTATGGAACAAAACATCCACTTACCATCAGGTGGACTGTGTGCTCTTTTGTAACCCTTTTTCTATAAAAAATGACATTTCCCTTAATTTTACTTATTTTTTTACAAATTAATTTATTAATCATTTTATCAGTCATTATGAATCAAAAAATCGTTGCAATTTGTAAAGTTTAACATTTAAAATAAAACCCCTATTCTAAAAAAAAAGACCATTTCCCTTAATTTACTACTTTTTTCATATTAACGTATTCACCATTATATGAGTCATTATTCATCAAAAAGTGGACTCAATTTTTTAATTTTAACATATAAAATGAAATAGTTCCAGTGACTAAAAAAATTAATAAACAGAGTTAGCTGGATATCTAGATTCTAGATGATATACTTAATTTATAAAGCGCTAATGATCATTTAATCATACATTTTACAAAAGCGAAATAACAGCGCCTATAAAAATCAAAATAACGATCTCAGATCTCCCCTTATATTCCGAAAGTGCCTGCCCTTTCTGATATGGAGTTTGTTATAATGTACGAGTCTGCAATGAAGCCCACCAGTTGGCTCTTAACCCTACTGGTATAGGACTTCAATACAAACCAGTTTTTGTGTGTTCCATTTAGGATTTTTTTATGTCATAGCATATATTTGAACACGCAGTTTACTCTATAACTTACCTTGTTATTCCCACCCTTTTTTATTTAACAATTTCAGTGCTTAATAGCCAATAAAGCACTGAACTCAAAATTGTTATTTTTTGATTCCACCTATAATTATACTTATAGGTGGAAAAATAAAAGTATTAATGTTGAGTTATCATGTTATAAAAAATGAACTCGTTCGTGTCAATAATTACTGTTTGGCTTACGTCTGATAAAATTCCATTTGTAAAGCATGGGTAATAACAATATAAATACAATGTTCGCTACACCTTGACTTATTAGTTTTGACCATACGTGGTTGTAATAAAATCTTAACAATGGACTACTTTATAGTACATATTTCATAAGTAAGTACAATGCAATGAGGCAAATACGAAAATAAAGTATCACTGAGACTTGTAACGGGCGTAAATTAATTACGTTTATTAGCTCTAAAGTGTTCGTCGCCCACACTTGGGGTGCCAATATGCACGGCAAATAAAGCCCAATATTTTCTATAACGTTTTCAAATAAAATTTTAGAGTTTTAAGTCAAATTCGTAACAGATTATTATTTTGATGACCTTGTGGTGTGTTAGTGTTTAATGTAACAACAATATTTTTAACTCTGTAATATGTAATACATCCAATCTTATAGTACAAGTTCTTTTAATTCTATTATTTATTCTGTGGTACAAGTACGTATTAAATTAGATGAAGCACCATAACTTGGATATACAGTCTAAAAGGGATATACCGAAATCTCTTAGAATATATATATACTATAATAGACGGAGTTATTGCTATGATATGTCTAAGTCCCAACCCTGCCCCAAATTAGTTTTATTTCTCCTTATATAATTATTATCCACTTTAATAGAAACCGATATAAATTAATTACGTAAATATTATTAGGTAACTTATAACAACTATCCGATATGGCGTCCTTAGTTAGATGGTCCCTTCAATGTAAAGTTATTAGTTAAGTGTATGGCATATTTCATCTGTATTGTACTATTATTTATTCTGTGATTGCAATTCCTTGGGTATCTAAGTGCAAATTAATTATTATGAAAATTAAAAAATAAAAGGTAGCCTTCACCAAAAATGGAAAGGTCGCTTATTAATGGCCTCTCCATTCCTTCTTTGCGCGAAGTGGCGCGAAGCCAACATGTCAAATATTTATCTTCAAGATGCCATATACAGCATAATTTACTAATACAAACTACAAGCTTAGAATAACATGTTGTCCTAGCCAAATGGAACACTTTATTGGATAGAATCACCTCGGTATATATATATATATATATATATATATATATATATATATATATATATATATATATATATATACCTGTCGCAGATCTTTTTTTCTAAAAGCGTTTCAATGATTCATTGTTTTCATTGAATCATTACAATTTGCTATAGTTATAAAAAAACGCTACCGGCTACCCAAACACAAATGTAAAGTTTAAAAAATCAAATTATCGCTACTTTAGTAAGTGTTACATATCCCACTATTATTATAAACGTGAAAGTTTGTGAGGATGTATGGATGTTTGTTACTCTTTCATGCAAAAAAGCACTAAATGGATTTTAATGAAACTTTACATTATATATATATATAGCTCATACATCAGAATAATACATAAGCTATAATTAATAAAGATATTGTGCATATTAGACAAAATATAACGTTAAGTTGGAAAAAAACATGACGTCAGTCCGAACACGCATCACGCAAAAACCTGTGAACTGATTTAGATGGGACTTTCACCGGCAGACAGCTGGTGGTATAAGGAGTAACTTAGGCTACTTTCATTTTAGGGTTCCGCGCAAAATAATTCCACGCGGACGAAGTCGCGGGGAACATTTAGTAAATTTTATAATGTTAAGGTCATTTTAATCACTTACGACAATCTCTATGTATAAAAATCATTGGCTGTCCGTTAGTCTCGCCAGAACTCGGAAACAGCTTGACCAATTTTGGACACATTTTGGTCACATTTGGACTCGGTATTGGCGCTGTTGTCGAGATCCTGAAATCACCCGTGCGAAACCGGGGCGGATCTCTAGTATGCAATAAGTAATGACTCAAGTATTGACATTGTTCATTATACCTTGGCAAAATGTAAGGAGACATAATATTAAGGTTCACGTGGTTCACCGTGACCGATACTAAAAATATGCATCACGACGCATTGTACCGCCTTGAATTGCTTATTCATATCCACGCCATCTATGTCATTGTAAGATCTTGTAACCGTATCTGGTGTTGCATTAATCATATTTTGGAAAAATTATAAAAGTGGACCGCATCTCTTTGTGGAAAATACAAGTAGCTTTGGTTTTTGCAAAGTTTTGCGAATGCAAGGTAACCTATACTGACACAGATCTCAATGGCGTTAAATTCCAGGTAAATTAAGTCGACCTCTGAATATCTACCTAAATGTAATTATTGCGCAAAAACAAAATCATTTTGTAAAAATTTATCATACGAACAAGGGTTGTGTGAAGAAACGAAACATACAGTTAATAACAATAAACATAACGGTTATTTCGATAAAGAAAAGCTTATCTTTATAGATGACAATTAAAAATCTCGCTTTTAAACTTATGTCAATGAAAAAAGCTTATTATTTTTTGTTTTGGTGGGAACACATTTTAATAATTCTTTTAAAATATTTATTTCTTATGTAAAACAAAACAAAATTGATCAATTAAACAGTTGCGGCCGCCAGGCTTACCAATTAAAGGTTTTTAGTCATGCCATCTCCACTTAGCTCCTTCGCAAGCTGTTATTTGTGGTGTAGGAGAGAATGTCTTAGGGCATTAAGTCCGCTCTTAGCAAAACTTTTTATAAAGTTTAAGATAAAGTATAAATAAATACACAAAAGAAAGAATGTGTGAAATAGCAAATAATACATCGAAACATTTCGAATAAACTTAAACGTATCGTATAGATAAAGCAGGCAAATATTAAACTACATAGATATAGATATTTGAGTACTAAAAAAGTATAATTTAAAAGCTAAGTAATATTTGTACATAGCTATATAGTAAAATTCATTTGAATGTAAGTTTAAATAGTTT